AAGGTACTGGAGAGGAGAATTCGATTGATAGTCGAACCTCGGATTCAGGAGGAACAATGCGGTTTTCGTCCTGGCCGTGGAACACCGGCTCTATACCCTCTTCAGGGAGGGTTCATGGGAGTTGCCGAACCAGTCCACATGTGTTTTGTGGATCTGGAGAAGGCATTCGAAGGTTTGAATCTCGGTGCCAGCAGTCCACGTGTCAAAGTGTCCTTAGGCAAGACACTGAACCCCACCATTACCCCCGATGGTTAAAGCTATTGGTTGAGGTGGCACTGCAGATGGCTGCCATCGGTTCTGTGTGTAACATGCTTGGCCAATAAAGGTGATTATCCTTATCCTTATAAAATGACTATGTAATGAAGTGATTTGTTGTTGTATCCGGAAAAAAACTCAAACTATCACATAAAGTAAATGTAAAAGGTAAAAATGCAAAAACTGAGAACAATATGAGCAAGGTCCTGCAGTAAAAAAAAAACTGAAATATATAGGCTATATTCTTCCTTTCGATTAGCCTACTCTGGCAAGGAACATACTGACAAGGGAGATCAGAGCAGCAAATAGGAGCTACTCTGAAAAGCTGAAAGCTCAGGTTTCAGCCAACGACCCCTCCTCTATGTGAAGGAGCCTGAAAAGCATCACCGGCTATAGGAAACCATCCCCCCTGTTGTGTCGGACCATCAATTAGCAGACCATCTTGTTCAGTCAAGATGACTCCCTGCCTGTGCTCCAACCGGAGGCAAATCAAAAGAAATCAGACTTTTGGAGAGACAACCTGCTGCGAGGTAGCGGAGTTTCACTCATAAAACATGAATTTTACTTTCCTTATTGGTATCAAATTCTGTAATCAACGGCACTCATTCTCTATCCCTCAAAGTGAGAATATGTGCTTGTTAACTGCTACGTGTGTCAGTGAACAGATCAGCACATCATTCCAAAACCAAATGTGTTTTATTATCCTTACTGTTTTTGAATCCATTTTAATGCGTTGAGAGTGGGCAGTCCACACATCAACAAAATTTGGTACAAGTTCAATGTGCAGGCTTTTATGTATAACAAAGGTTTATCCTGACTACCTTGTTTGTGGTCGACCAGTTGATGTGTGACAACGCAGCACAGCTCGACAAGGGCCCAGGAAGTCACTCTTCCATCTCGGATCCCAGCCAATTAAGGATCGAATGTTAAATTTACAGCTCAACCAGGCACAGGATTACGGCACCATTTGTTGATCCGGGACCACAGACCAGTCATCTGAGAGTTGTCTGAATAAATGAATGAATGTGTTGGACCCCCGTTCTTTTCACTATTAACTCTGAGAGACGAAGCAGTCCAGGCAACTTCAAAACAGTGCTGATT